AAACAAATTCAAAAGGCCAATATGATAATTCAGTTTGTAGGACATATTCTTAACAAAAAAAGAAGTAAAATGATTACAAAAAACATACAAAAGGGGGGGAGATGTTCACACTTGAAGACTCAACTGAAGATTACAGTAACAGAAAAAAAATCCAATGGTGACATCTAGCACATTTTTAAAGCCAACAGAGATTTTTGTTTTAATTCTCACATTCAATACCTGATATTATGTCCCACCACTGTGCAATGTCACCTGGGGGATTTATACAATTGATTATCTGCTAAAGTGTGGAGGTTTAAGAGAGCTGGGCATTTTCCACATAGCAATGATGTTCCCAAACACACTGGGATCAATGAGATGTGTCTCCTGAGGGAAAGATATTAAGCATAAATGCAGCCAAAGATCGAATCCTATGAATGAGAGAGAGCATAATTGTAGAGCTGCTCCTACTTCCTATTTTATGAGTTAGGCTAAAAGAATTTCATGTATTTGAGATGAAAAAATGGACTGAGTGGATACTATGAAGAGACAGCCTCGGTCAGTCTTTGACACACCGGACTAAAGAGTATTAGAAATAAGAACCAAGACAAAAACACACTACTGTGCAAACCTTTGAGCTACCACACCAATCATTTCTTCATATTTCGCTGACACATGAGCAAACGTACATGGAAATAAAGCATATGTCAAAACAGAGCTTGTGCAACTCTAAAAACATTGAAAGCCCATGTTCTATATGCCTTCCTTTATTCGTCTCTGTTAGAGAAGAGCATTGTTAGAATTTTTCTAAATAGTCTTCAGGAACAAATACTTTGAGTTTCTTAAAAGACAACGTTCTTCTCTCGCTGTTGTCTGCTCTTGGTTCTGTTCAGTGTCAAGATGAACAAAGATTGCTTCAAGAATGTTAAGGCATGAGTTCTGCAGAGCGCAATTCATAGTTTTCCATTATGTTTTGGTTTTTTTGGTTTTTTTTCATGGATAGCGTAATGCCTTTTTGCTTTTTTGAATGACAAATGAAATGGGCTGGAAATGCTCTTTTTTTCTCTCAGCAAAACGTGCTTTTTTTCTTCTTCTTTTTTTTCCTTTTTGCTTTAACTAGTTTAAAATGCTTGTTAAAAAAAAGCCAAATGACTATAACAAACAAATATCCCCTCAAAAACTGTAACCATCTACTTTACCATTTAATTTGGCATTCTGTCTTTTTCTTTAGGGTTGTAGGGACCCTATCTCACACACTTAGATAAGTGGTAATCTGTTTTTCACAAGCCACACATGAATGCAAATGAATATGTTGCTGTTATATGTTTTTGCCTCACATTATTTTCACACATTTCTCAAAGCAGCTTGAGACCACTCCCTACTGAATCACCCACCAACATATATAATAAAGTAAAGAATATTATTTATAGGTACCCTTACATCATGTCAATATGGTCCAAAATCTCGATTTTCAACACATTACTTAATCTAATCTGAGAAGAATTAACAAAAGGGCTCCAACTTGGTTCTAGCAAAGTGTCCAATACCTAACAAAGTGATAAGTGCGTATATTAATTTAACTTGCTATCACCTTACCAACGATAGTTTTAAAGTATCAATTTGTGGTGAAACCTACATTTTAGTTTACGTTTTGAAACATTTCTCATCATTTGTAAATTATTACAAAATCTCTCTTGTAGCTGAAAAAGTGCTAATTGGTATTGAACTTGATGTACCTTCTTAAGTTGTTGTTTATATTTGCAAAACAGAAGGAAACTGAAACTGAAACAGTACGACGATGACTGCTTTGTGATTTCTCTGAGTGAACAACTACAGTACGGTATCCATCCATTTTTAATTTTTTTTTACTTCTGTATATATTTATATGAGAATTAAATTAAATTGTATTGAATAAAAGGAGAAAGTAATACATCTTCATGCGTGGGACTTACATGTACCTAAGGATAGAACGTTGGATTTGTTAATGGGATTTCCCCAACAGGTGAAAATTAACGTGACAGGAAGTGGATGGGGCGCTTTAGTTTTCAAGCCGGCTGACTGAGACGACAGACTTGTAAAATTGTTTTCCTGTGACACAAAGTCTGTGCCAAATACAAAGGCATTCGCTGTAGCACATGAAGGAGGAGTTGGGACCCAGGCTGGAGCAAAAAAGGGAAAGAAAACCAACCATTTGTAATCGCGACATCTGTCAGCTAAAAGCTAAACAATGTTTTCTTTAGCGACAGGTGTTCCTTCACTCTCTCGTGCTGCTTTACGTCGAGCTCTGTCAACTCTCCGATGATGATGATGATGGCATCAGTTATAATCAAGTCATTTTGAAGATTATGCCCTTGTTAAAGACAGGGGTGGGATCTGTAGATTTCATTATGAGGACAGATGGTAGCAAACGCTGTTCACCCTAATGCAGCATTCAAAGATCTCTTTCCTCGACTTCCACATAAGAAATAAGTTATGATTCAGTCTCACAGTGAACATGGTTTAATTCACAGAAGGCCAAGTTACTGCAGCTGGCCTTCGAGAGAACTTACCACAAGTGCACTAATGAGTGGAGAGATGCTATCTTCACACGGCTTAACTGAGACTTTGTCCGCCTTCAGCTATTTCAAGGGTGAGTGAAGCTTATTTTTACCCGTTGGCATTATTGTGCTTCTGTTCTTCTGCGGCTTAATTTGTATATGGCTCACAAACACGGCGCTTTCTTGTTTAGTCCATGCTGTCACTGTCCGTGGTGCTAAATGCGCAGGCAGTGAGTGTTTTTATTTCTGTGCTTTGTCAGTATCTAATTTCCTCGTGTATTCATGAATGACAATTCATTCTGAATCCCCTTGAATGCTTGGCAGCACGGTCACTTCTTTTGGTCTAGCTGCCTGGGTTGCTGTCTATATACACCCAGTTGCTATTGCAGTCTTTTTATGACTCCTAGTACAAATCTGCCTGTATATGCGACAGAAACTTTAGGTTGCTGGTTGTGTTTCAGCTGTGACTGGTTTAAGTGAAACTCGGAACAACTGTCTCGGTTGATCTTTTGCAAGCTAGCAAAGACAAATAGCAAGGGATGGCACCAGACTGCCTCTCGGTGATCAGTGGGTGTTAGGAGATACTCATCAGGGGAGAAAGTGGGACTGATAAAAATCCTGTCAATCAAATATGTGCAATCAAGTGATAACGATTAAACAACTCTGTCTTGTAAGATTCTATTGCATGATTTATGTAAACAGTTATGTATAAAATAAATAGTAAAGTAAACCGATGTGATGACAATGTTTTGAAGGCTGCTTACCAGATTTCACACATCAGTTATAGTGCTACCACATGTCAGAAAAAGAAAAGTATATATCCAGGTAGCTCCAGATGGAAGTTGCTGAAGAATTCAAGTTGAAGAAATGAGCACTCCTGCTAGGGCTCTTTTACCAGTCTCCATTTTTATTTATTTATTTTCTCAAGGCTCGTGAATTGATGATCCTTTGGCTGCTTTTAACATAAATGTATCTCTGACCAAATTGAGTTGGATTGTGAGCACCAGAGTTTGATGCACAAGCTGCATATATTTTGATCCTTTCTTTTTTTTGAACCCTTCACCATGAGTCATTGTCAGACTCTGAGGATTGAAATGTGCAATTGGCACAGCATATTTCTTATTGCTGGTTTAAGGCGGAACATAAATATCAATGTCAAAGTCAGATGTGCTATATGCCCATCATTTTCCTCCAGACTTTTTCTCTCTTCAAAGAAAAAACAAAAACAAAGTTGGATGTTGGTATTGGGTACAAATTGGTGCTAGAAAATCATCTTGTATACATTACATTCTAAAGCGAACTGGCCTCTCACTTTGAAGTGAGTAAATTACAGCTGCTAAAGCAGCTGCATAAATGACTCATCAAGTTTTAAAAGGGCCTCAAAAATCATGATGTTTGATGAATACGGAAAGTCTTCTCTGACAAATGGCAGTAGAGGCCACGAGGAAGTCCTTGCAAGCATTAACTCAGTGGCTCTTAATAGGATATTTGCATAACAACAATAGAAAAGACAGGATAAACATAGTTGCCGGCATTGTATCAACTAATTGCTCACGTGATGAATGCATCCTTTCTTCCAGTTTTGAATGATTGCATTAATGTTACACTTCTGTTCACAAGCCACTGCGTGTCTAAATAAATAATAATGACATCTATTTAAACTAGCTGAGTTCTGGTTTAGTCCTGTGAAAAGCGTTGTTTATGGCTACACACCCTGATTACACTGCACTGGAAAGTATGAATTTTTAAAGTTGGTGCTATTGCCCAAAGGCAAACACCATGGCAAGTGATTTGACAGGTGTTTAGAGGCTACAGTAATTACAGGAACATTACTTAGAGACTTTGCTAGAAATGTTATTTTGTTGTTTTTTTTCTTTGATATTGGATAAAAAAAAAAACACTCCACAGTGCAAAATCTCAAGAGATAGTAAAAAATGTTGAAATTTGTTTTGGGTTTTTAGTTCATGTACCACAATATCGTGGCTTCAGTCTTCAGTCATTTTTTTAAAATACAAAGCATTTATACTTCTAATGAACTATGGCATTCTTATCAGTGATGACTAGGTTTTTGCATCCATGCTTCTACACTTGTTAAACTTTAACATGGACACTGTATGCTGATGCTTGTTTTAAAAATCTGAGCCATTTTTGAGGCTCATGTTTCACTTATGTTGCACATATTCATTCAACACAATAGTTTGGCCAACTATTTTCTACTTAGTACTCATGATATCCCAATGGGAATGGGGATGGGAATGCATTTATCATTAAAATCAAGACCTGGATTTCAACTAATGATGTAAAAAATAGCAACCGACGAGGCAAGCTGCCATTCTCCCAGATGGTACATTACTGCATGTGTGCCTTGAGCTGGCAATGGCATATATCATAATAAGGTACCTCTGAGAGCAATGAGGAGTTCTAAAATAGTACAATCCACTATACTTATTACAGACGACTCATAGAAAAATGTACATAAGCATCTTTTTGCATTTTATACTGAATTTATTCAGAACTTACTTACACGAGAACCATTGCACTGATTTCAGCTCATTTGACTCTCAACAAAAAATGGGTCAGTAATCAAATGCTACAAATAATCAAACATGTTCAGAAATGTTAGGACACTGGCCTTGATTCAGCCTGGGCTGGCTTAAGTGAAACCAGGGAGAACAAGCAGTTGATTCAGTGCAAGCTAGTGATAACAAAGACAAATGGAAAGCCATGGCGCCAAAGGAGTCACAGACTACCGTACAGTGATTAGTGGGCATTTGAGATTCTCTCTAGAGGAGACATTGGAAGTGACAAAAATCCTTTCAATCGACTGTGCAATCAAGTGATAGCGATTAAATCACCTTCTCTTGGATATGTCCATTGTGTGACTGGTTCATCCATCTTATGCTCGTTCATCTTTTGATGGTTTTGTGAGTCAAAAAACATGCTTGTGGAATAGCTTCAAACCTTTCATCCAGATGTTATGGCTTTGTGTGAGACCTCAAAAGGCATACACTGTAAAGGCTTGATTTTCTCATGACAAACTGGTTTTAACTGCAGTGCAGACCTTTTTTTCCCTCCTATTTATATAAATAGTTTCTTTTGAGTTTTCTTAGCTATTTTTCCCAAAGGCTCTACCACATATATCTGTATTCACCAGTCACTTCATTAGTTACATCTTGCAAGCAAAAGTAGAGTACATGTAAAGGTCCTGCATTCTGGTCCTAATGTCATAAGCACAACCTTATGACTTTAGGGGGCATTTTGTTGTTGTTGTTTTTGTAGTCACTGCTAGTGAAAATGATTTAGATTCCAGCAAAACCTGTAGCTTTTTACCCGTCAGCCATAAAAGGCTGATGGGGTTTTGCTGTCACCTTGCCCGGCTGGCAGGCGGGCACTGTGGAAGCTTGTTAATGCAATAACTCGAGAAGGAGACCATTCAAATTGATACCCCAGGTGCAACTACTAAAAACCTTGAATGGAGTTCCAATTTCAGTGGTCTGACCTCAAGATCAGAGGTCTGAGGTCAAGTTTTTTGAAAATCTTGTGAAAATTTTTTGAAATTGATATCATTGGTTGCTGCCAATATATCCTTCATCTTGTTTTAAATTTCTTTATTTTATTTATTGCTTTTGTTTAAATGTACTCTTGGTTTACAGGGTTTTTTGTTATCACAGCAGAAGGTTGTGCTTGATTGGTGAAAAGGCATTTGTGAAGTACTCTTTGATCTTTAATACTGTATTTTGATGCTGAGCCAGCAGAAGAACGGCTCCTATTGTCAGTGTTGCTATAACCACAGATTTGCTTGTAGGCAGGTACATGAGTTTGGATGATGGTCTTTGCTTAGAAGCACTCTTGACATTTTGAATGCGCTGCAATTCTTCCTGCTCCTCTGTGGTCAGAGTCATGTGGGACACTTCAGCCAGCACCTCCAGAGCAGCTCTCTGACCAGCTTGCACCGCTCCGTCCATGTATCCACACCACTGGGTGGCTGTCTCTGTTCCTGCCCAATGTATCCTGTAAATCAAGAAATTTAGTGATTCATATACGAATATACACAAAGTTCAGTGTTCCCTTGCCCTTGTCAATACATGATAGTAATGTATTTATGATGTCTTAAGAAATAATAATACATATGATGGTATTGACTGATAAGATTTCCTCTCACAAACAGATACAATTTAAGATTCACCCATAAAACAAATCTCTCCTGGCTTAGATGGTCTATGTCTCTGTGCACTGAAATCTCCCACTAACAAATTAGATTAGGTCTGTTCAACGCTGTAGGGCTTGCTGCCTGGAAAAGCACAGTAACGATGTTGCTCCTCATCCACCTCTTCTGCTCCATGTAATGACAATACGGCCAAGAATGTCTTATAAATCTTACAAATTACTGCCCATGGTATCCAGCTTTATTGTCAACATCAGTCCACATCATGTGCTTCAGATCTGAACACATTGCTGTCAAAGTAAGCTTCAGCCAGACTGTGCAGACTGCAGGGCTATGTCACTGGTAAGAGTCTATCATTGTGGGTTTCTCAAAAGAAGTGCTGTGTTGTTGTTGAGCTAATGAAAGAAATCTGGAAAACAAACGCTGGTCATAGACTATAGAGATACCATGGCAATGCATGTAGCTGCTTTCATCTGGTGATCCCAAAGACACAGTAGACAATCTCTGTTAAATAGGGGTGGGTTTGGATTATCGATTTATCGATTAAAATCGATTTTAGCTTGAATAAAGCAATATCGATTCATTAAGATCCTAAATTGATTTTTAAATATACATGTATTTTTTCAGAAATCCCAGAATCTCAGGTTAAACCTCACAAAACTATTTCAACAAACAGCTAGACAGCAAATGACAGCAGGTAAATGGATTGTGCAAAAACACATAAGCACAAAGCACAAATCTGACGCATCAGAATCAGTGAGACGTCGGTTTTCTCACACCGTCGCGGCTGAAAGCAGACAGCTCAAAGATTCTGATGCATTGGATCCGCGCTTTGTGTTTACGTCTTATTTTGCACTAGATTCTGAAGCTGCAGGTTTCATCACTCTCCAACCAAAATTCACTGAACCAGCAGCAAATCAAATAGCTATAGAAGCGAGAGGTAGGATAGTATTGAAGAACTGTCTGGAAGGTCTGGAAAACCAAACATGAGCCCCTAAACAAGCATAATAACACGTAACGTTTCCTGACCTGACCCTGTAATTGAGATTCTGCAGAAACTAAACATGCAATGCAGATTGGGATGGGTGTCATGGCTTGGTGCTTTTGGATGATAGTCTATCTGTGCTTAGCCGAGTCAATTGTTTCTATTTTTTCGAGAGGTAATTTTTGTCATTTTTTTGTGCACTGAACTGAATTGTGCACCTCCTTGAGAATTTATTTCAGTAAATAATTACCTCTAAAGGGTGCTTACTGCATTGGCTGATTCAAATTAGCAGTTGGAGTTGGGCCATTTTATACACACTGTTGTTTTTCACCAGAAGAGGTAGTGACAAAATGACTATTAGGGCATCTACAGTCATTTCTGTCTGCTTGGTTCTTAATTGCAACAACAATTTTTAGTCGTAATTACGATCAACAACTGCACACTGATCATTTGATACCAGTTAGGATCAGAAATATATGGGGCAATCAAACTTTCAGAATTTTGCCTCTGCATATCTTTACAGTAGATTTTAGCTCATAGAATCAAAATGTGACTGAAGTGCAGGCTTTCAGAAGGGTTTAACAAAAGCATTGCATTAGTTGTTTGGGAATTACAGCTATATAATGTCTACTACTTTTTCAGAGGTACAAAAGTAATTGGACAATGACTGTTTCGAATAACTGGGTGAAAATCCAGTAAAGTCAAAGACTGTCTAGAACCCATCGGGATCACCAAATGCTGTGTTTCCGTCCTTGTTATTCCCTGTCAGGCCTTTACTGTCTTTGGTTTCTGCTTGTTTGTGGGCATCTCTGACTTCAGTTTTGTCATTGATATGTGGAAAACATGCTATGTCAGATTGAGATCAGGTTTTTGACTTGGTTGTTGGTTGTACTATGCTTTGGGTCATTATCTGAGCACAGCAGAGAGTAGCTGTCAACACATCAAATTTCATCCTTCTACTTCTATCAGCAGTTAAAACGTCAATAGTGCCAGTGGCTGCCTTCCTGTTCTTGACTGTAACCAGTTTGTACCTTGTTGCAAACTCTCTGTGTTTATATTTATGAAGGTCTCTCTTGGTAATACAGGTTGACAAAGTCAAGCAAGAGTTCTCAATGTGGCTAAATTTTGTAAAGGCATTTTTACTAACCAAGGAAATTATTCTGCATTTTAGTCATCGTCGGTGAGCAAACAAAAGTAAGTTCAACACTAATTAATTATTTTTGAAATAACAAAGGACCAGGCCTTGTCGTGCTGTGAAATTCCTTTTCAGTCAATTGTAGATTTTTTTTAAGTGCTTTAACATGTTGGACTATTTACAAAACTGGCTCTAATTATGCAATATTTGTATTAAACTCCTAAAATAAAAGTAAAAAAAGCTTGCACTTGAATCACACCCTGATTGAGTTAAAATCCACTGTGGAGTTGTACAGAGGCAAAACTATAAAAACTGTGTCATTGTCCAAATATTTATGGACGTATCTGTAAATTATCCACCTGTTTGCGGATATATAGGTAGCAACTGGACATATCCCTTAACCTCATTGCCTCCCTGTGTCTGTTGACTATGTATTTTTTGCCAGCAGTCTCTTTGATGTTTGCGTTTGCACACCTTACTCAGATGATGGTTAATTTGATTTTTTTTTAACACAACGCTCAGTCTTACTGGAATCTAACACCAATAAAATGTAGGATCATTTTTGCTTTCACTGGACAAATCCCCTTTTGAGGATGGCATGTTTTAGAGATTTGTAGCTTTTTATTCACAGCTTTCTACACTATAGGTACTTCAACATACTATTAGATATGATGAGGGTTTTTTATGTGGATGATTTTTTTTCTTTGGGATATAATATGTTTTTGTACCACGTTTTGGTGACCTGATGGAGTCACTCACAGCCTCTCCAGGTTAAAGAGAGACAATCTTCCGGGTGGTTCAAGTGCCCTAGAGCAAGTAAGAGTGCCAGTCCATTATGTAGTAACTGTTGTCCTATTGTTTTATATTATCTATGAAAAAAAAAATCTATTTGCCTCCTCAGTGGGAGTGAATCTGAATGACCTGCGGTCAGAGGTGGTTTATCTAAGGTTTCATATGGCAACCATGCATTTAATTTGGTACATATGATTGGTTCTTTTGTTCTCATACAATTTTTATTTTATTTTTTTTGTTTGTGGCTACCCACAAAAAGGGAAAAACCATATGGCACAATAAGACGTATCATCCAATCACGTTGGTTAAAAATGATGCCAGTCTAACTTTTTGATACTTAGAAGCTATTGCTTACACCACCACAATGATTGTGTGCAGTTACATGTTTTAGGCCATCAATTGCATTTTAATACTGAATTAAATTAAATAAATAAATTTATTGAGTTATGTATGTATTAACCTACTAAGGGGCATGCAGTTTTTTCCCTTGGATAATGAAACAGAAAACTTGCATTTACCTGAGTTACCTTTATCTAATATTAAAATCTGTTTGATCTAAAGCTTGTAAATGTGACAAATATGCAAAAAAAAAAAAAAATAGGAATAATGATACAGGAGCATCAGATAATGACAGCTGTGCATGGTGGTTACCTCCTTGTATGTGATAACTGTGTTAGAGGAAATCAAGCCAGTTGAAGTTATGAGTTTAATGTGTGTGAATAATGGGTGTGCTGATTTACCCCCCCCCCCGGCTTTTTTAAATTTGTTCATTTGCACTGGGTTCCACATTATTGGCCTTTGCACACACTTTATGAACCGCTGATCTAGACTACTTTAATTATGTTTGTCCAGTTCAACATAACCTCTTCTAACTGGTTTTAAGGTTCTTCTGAAACTACAGCAGCCACCAATTTTCACTGATCAATGCAACTGAGAAGGGCTTCACCTCAGCTGACCTACTGGCAAATATGCTTGATGAATTTCTGTTGTCTGAACAATAGTGTTTGATGTCTTTGCAACAAACAGTCTTTACTCTCTATTCACACTATGGCTATTTGTGGATTTCATGGGCTATGTCGATGAAATCCACAAATAGATGTGAACACTGAATTGAACAACTAAAATACCATTCAGCAAAGGTGCTAAAAGAATAGAGAGTAATCAGGAGTAAACAGAGGGTCAATGTGTGGCAAACCTGCAGTGTGAATGTAATAAGGATTTTGACTGTTTAGTCCAGCCCAATAGGCAACTTCAACAACAGCAGAATTTCTAAGACTTTAAGACCCAAGTCTGAGATGTCAGAGAGCTTGGTAATGAGCTGGTAATGCTGAGTCTGTCTCTCACAACACGCAACTGCCTAAGCTTAGAGGTAAAGTTTAGCTTTCCAGAATGTATGTTTGGAGGTACCAGACATCACCTCAACTATAGGATAATTGACTGCAGCATATGATTACACACTTGCTTGAGGGGTACTCTGTAATGGATTTATGCAGCAGTGATTCATATCATTGAGATATAGGATACATGATAATGAAAAAGGAAAGCAATATATCCAGTAAGAATAAAAAAAAATAAAAAATCAAACATGCAGAAGTGGTGGAGAGGGAAATCAATCAACTCAGCCATTACAGTGGCATGCATAGCAGGTGGCAGTAAACAGTATAATGAGCCGCAGCATTATGATGAAAAGAACGAGAGCTTGTCAAATTAAAACGTCTGCATTTTGGCCCTGATTGAACTTGATTGGTGTCTTGTTTAAATGGGTGATTAAATGATAAGAAGTAAGTGAAACCGTTCAGCTGACAGCCGTCATAACTGTAGCGCTCTTTCAAAATAAAGGAAATGTTTTGTGAGCTTAAATGTGTGTGGGATGTAAAAGTAGTGGTATAAAAGTCAGTCATATAACACAGGTGCGGCTGGATATGCACAAGTATAACATTTATACAGTCTCTAAAACTGGGGATGATGAAGTCAACTAGGATTTTAAAATTGATACCAACTAAAGCAACTAATCGTCTCAGACAAGTTTGAACCCCGGGTGACCTTGGCCTCAATGTCATGGTCAAAGTTGAAGTTTTCTAAAAATCTTGTGACCACAATAAATCGAGAACAAGGTGACGTGGGTTTTTAAATTCATCCCATACATGCAGTCGCCTGTGTGAGTTCGAAACCTTTGATCTTGAGATCAACTTTTCTGAAAACACTCCTGAGGCTGAGGGGTAGAACTGGTGGCCAGTATCTTTTTTTTTTTTTTTCTCAGCCATTTAAAGTGGGGGTGCCTTGTATGTTTTCAGCACTCCTACTGTGCAGTGTTTCCTAGCCATATATCTTAATTTTCCTTTGCATTATTTTAGCTTGAGCTAACCACCTGTAAACAGTAAGAAAGTTCAGGCCTTAACTACTGAAACAGGGACTCATACTGGTATTTCAGAATGAGGCTGCTGCTGTTAAGACAGACTTAGATGGGACTCACAGACTAATCATGAACTGACTGAATAGATGCAGACTTTAACATAGATCCGATGGAGAGTGATAGCTCTGTAAGTTGTTAGAATTCAGTGATACAATGATGCAAGCCCCAGGAATTATATTAAACATATAATCAAATTAGTGTAAACCAAGCAAGCTACTTTTAGTTGCTCCTTTTTCACAAAGGGGCACAACAGTGCTTGTTTTGGATTTGACATATTATCCCAGATGTTTCCTCCCTTGGTAAAAAACAGAGATCTTTTGTTTAAACTACGTATTTATATTTATACTAAAGAATTAATCTTTCTTTAAACAAAATGCTAACTTGGTGTAAAACCTACTGAGGTCAGTTTATTCATATGTCTTGGTTTTTCCTCACACCTCACATATCCTGTTCTCTGCTCTCAAACATCCTCCATGCTGTCTATTCAAGCGTATTATTAACCTAGAATAATTAGTCAGTGTGTGAAGTGTAAAAATCACATTGTCAGTATAAAGATACAGACCATGTCAAATCCCATAATGGGATAATAATGGGACACTAGCTAAATTTTTTGCACTGGTAAATACATTACCTTGGAAGCACCAGCAGCATTTTTGCCCACCAGTCTTGGGTTTGTCTTCATTACATGTGCTAGATTTGTGTCAAGGTTACAGTATGCCCTTGAGAATCAATTTCCTATATGGGGTAGGGATGTGGCTGAGAGCTACCATCACCTTTCTGCTGTTTCAGTCACATTATGTAATGAGCTTCCTCTGCTCCCCACGGACTTGATGTCATTATGGAAATGCATTACCTGGATCCCCCTCCCCATCTCTCTCGCTCTCTCTCGCGCTCTCTCTCTCTCTCGCGCTCTCTCTCTCTCTCTCTCTCTCTCTCGCTCTCTCTCGTTTTTCAGCTTTGTGCATCTCTGAAGAGGCCATTAGAAATGGATTATAGGGCATTTTCCCATGAGAACACCCCTCCTGATGACCTCTTGCCATTTCTTTAGAACTGGACTACTATGTATCATTAAAGATGTAATCACTCCCACGACTCATGTCAATGATCTGTACGCACTGGGTGCTAGTGAGTAATACCTAGTTGGCAGGGAGAATAGACCTATTTTTTGTTGTATAAAAATAGTATAAACATTCAGCAAATATTCTCAGTATCTCTCATCCTGTCACCTTCTGTACTATGTTAACATTTACAACTGTGAATTCTATAACTCCACACGTTTAGCCATTGAAAAAATTAATATTAATCTTGTGTGGATACAAATACAGATGGACGATGAGTTATTTTAATGTAAGGGAGAATAAGTATTGTAATTCACTGGTATATATGCCATTAGTAAGGTGTTTACCTGCCAAAAGGCTTCCTCAGGCTAGGGTGGTAATATGTTAGCAAACCTGGTGCCATGACATTAACTGGACAGCCACCACTGTAGTCCTCCTTGGCCCAATCCTGTAGGAGAAAATGGATTTAATTATATTTTTCAGTATTGTTTCACATCACATATGACTTGATTTCATAGTAGTCATAATATTTTTGACAATTTATGAGGACATAACCATGGACCATGGAAAACACCATGGACTACTCCTTGACATTCCTGTATAGTATGCTAAATAAGCTGTTATTAGTTTAATGTTTGCAGGCTGCCTAAATCCGTAAAACTCGTATTACAATCATTCAATATTAAACATTTTAGTGTGAAAACTTAAATATATAATGATTCTCAGGCGGGGACCAAAAAGACATAATAACATCAGAGTTTTGATTATACAGAATTTGACTCTTTTTAAGCCCCAGTGAGGCCTAAAGTACAAAATGTAGCATCTAATTTTCCTTTGGAAAATGTTAACTATATTGAATTATTTGTTGAGGAAAATGTGTAATACTAATACCAGTGATGGGAATAACGGCATTACAAGTAACGGCGTTACTTTTTTCAGTAATGAGTAATCTAACTAATTACTATTCCTATCGTTACAACGCCGTCACCGTTACTAACAAGAAAATGCGGTCTGTTACTACTTTTCAACAAACAGACGGTTGAAGCTGTGTTCAGCTTACCGCATCTTATATCAGTTGCACGGAAGTAGCTGTAAGTAATCTGGATGCTACAGCTTTAAGCAGCTGCGCGCTCCCGCGGACGATAATCACAATCACTTTCTAGCACAACACCTGGAGCTAAGGGGGCAAAACAATTGCATGAGTGCTGCTGTTTGACTGAGGAAGAATAAAGTAGTCGTGGTAAGCCAATCACATGACCACTTTAAGATGACAAAGCAACAAGGTGAGTCATGATAAGCAATATATACACGTGTTTTTTCCTCAATAGTTTCGTCACGTTTACTGTCTAAGGACAGAGCTAGCAAGCACTCTCTGCTTATGAGCAAACAACAACAACAAAAAACAGAAAGTTTTAGGAGTGACGGAGAGAGAGAGAAAGAAAGACAGCAGAAAAAGAGAGAGCGAGTTTTGTGGTGTGAGAGATTTGTGAAGTTTAGCGTGTTTGGAGTGTGTAGTTAATGTGTTGTCTTGTGTAGTTAGTGTGTAGTGTTGTGGATAGTTTTGTGTTGTGTGTCAGAACAATGAGGCGACTGCTGTCTCCAGGTAGAAACAGGAGTGATACACCTGCTGCTGTCAGACCTGCAGGTATCAGGCTGTGATGTTCTCCTTTATAGTGGACAGAAATTATTTTTTTGGAGTGGCACAAATAATTTGTGTGGCATCTTATTGAATGCAGAACAGCTGATTGTTCTGTAAATAGTTTGAAATGGTTATTTAAAAAATCAAGGTAAAAGGTAAATGGATGCAAATAACTTTGTTGTTTGCAAAACTTGTGCATAGGATTTTAAAATTGACAATTTATATTTGCATTTAAAGTTATGAAATATGATTCATTAAACATGTTTGTGGTTGTTACAGTAAAAAATATAACTTTTTCTACTCTGATTTTATGTTTTTTGTCTGATTTTAGATCAATTGTGTTAATACAGTATGTCAAAATGAAAACATAACTGTAAATTCAGACACGTGAGGTTGTGCTGAAAAGAATGATACCAAACAAGGCAAAGTAAATAGTTTTTAAAGGTGAAATGTGGAGGGAAAATCAAAAGTAGTTAAAAATGGCCAATTATACCCTGGACCCCAGAGGGTTAAACATTTTTTTAAAGTAACGCAATAGTTACTTTTCAAGTAATTAATTACTTTTAGAATATTGTAACTCAGTTACTTCTCTGAAGAAGTGACTAGTAACTATAATTAATTACTTTTTCAAAGTAACTTGCCCAACACTGACTAATACTAATCATCCAACACCTTGAATCTGCACACAGGAAAACTAATCTTTCAACTTGCACCTCCTAGGATGTCATCCAGTTAAAGAAGAGTAAGGATGCCTTCATGACAACACATTTAAATAACACCTTAGAAAGGACAACTAAATATAAACATAGAAATAAAAATGTTAAGGACTTATCAGTCACTATCCAAAGTTCTGTGCAGATTTACTGATTCTCTTCTTTTAAACTTAACATTCTTTCTAAGATGGATTATTAAGTACCAGATTAAATTTCTCTGTTCCTTTAATGTCTAGAAAGTCCGTCACACTGCTTAACCCAGAGTGCAGAGAAAATTTCTGGTGTATATTCTCTGTTTAGCCCTCACTCATTACAGGACTGATGTTCTCAACAAGTCCTGTGGATTATTCAGTGACTTTAAGATCGTGCCAGTGCAATCCTGCCATATATTTTCTGTCTCCGCAGCTGCTGGTGAAGTGAATAAACTATCTGCCTTGTATCTGGCCTGTATTCCTTTACAGGCCATAAATGAATGTGCTACGTCATGTAATACAGCTGAGCTATTTGGTTTATGTTTGACACATTTTTAGGATGATAGGCAGATTAAAATTAAAAATATCTTTCAAAGTTTATTGCATGTACATTGTTGATATGCAGGACTGTAGAAGATGTAGTATCTCGTGTGCAAAATGGGTGATTGTGCCCCATTTGGAGACCCAGCCTAAATTCAGCATGCTTGCCTTCCAGTGACTTATTTATTCAGTTTCTGCTTATTTTGACATCATGTTTTTAAAGCAGCCACCTAAAGTCTGCCATTGAACTTTCAAAATGTGACCTTTTTTTAGTGTGTCCCTAGGGGCTGTCACAAGTCAAGAATTACCTTTTTTATGAGCCTTATTTAGAGTCACCATTATACTTTTTGATTCTATCCTGGCTTTCGTCCTCATTATTCTGGTGGCTGATGACACAGTCATGTTAATTGTTTGTGTATGTTCTTCATTTTGGTGTTTTTTGTCCGTCCATCCATCTGTCTAGAGCAGGGGTAGGCAAGCTTTCTGATGGCGAGTGCCATTTAAAATTTCCTCAGAAGTCAGTGTGCCATATGATTGCATTAGCAATAAATTTAATAACGCTCTATATTAACAGTTACACACTATATAGAACCACTTTATAGAATTATATTTGTTCGCAGATGTTGGCAGCTATCAGCGAATAGTTATCAGCTATTTTGAAACAAAAAAAGACTTTTTATCCATAACAGCAAATGAACTGTACAACAGAAAATACAAATGCTATTTATGGTCTCCTCACAACAATGATAAGAAAAATAAACTGGGCCAATATGGCATGTTTGTTAATACAGAGACACACAGGTCTCCAAGTGTCCAGCATTCAGATGGCTAGCCTGAGGACACTCTTCATGTGAGAGAAAATCTGCTCACACAGATATGTAGAGCCAAATACTGTCAATAAGGCCTCTGCAATGTTCTGAAGACAGTTAAACTTGTCAGGTAGTGATGTCCAGCAGGTGAAAATGAAAGCTCCATGAACACGCACAGCTGTGGATTCCAGCTGCTTCGATGTTGCATTAACTGGCATTAACTCCAGCCAGTTAATGCGAGACAAACCCAGCTGCTCATTAAAGCTTTCTGGTTTGATCAGAAAATAAAACATTGGTCCATACACCTGAAAGTCCCAAAAATGCATTGTGTCTCGAGTCTACGGATGTATCCGTGTATTTCCGTGGTGCTGATGCTGTGCTGAGCGGAAAGCTCCTGAAGCTTTTGAAGTGTCGGAATGTGGAAAGCTAGCAATGTCCCTCTCACCAGTAGGCTAAGTTATTTTTAGCAATTACAAGTTGAATCTGGTAGTTGGGGCTGTTAGCTAAGATACCGTCAACTAATGTGTCTATGCGAGCTGATTTGCAATGTGCACCGCTGGCCCGGCCATTTATTTTTTACCCTCTCAGATTAATTCACTGTGTGTCGTGCCCAGGGCTGGACTGGGACAAAAAAACAACCCAGGCATTTTGACTAGAGACCGGCCCACCAGGTATTAAAGCCATAAAGACTTTGAATGAAAACAAACGCTGTCTTGTTGGTATATGTATGATTTCTATACATTTTACATAAGATAAAAACTTTGGTTGTAAGCTTCAGATAATTATTTAATAACAGCCAGACATTTTAAATGAGAATGAGAAAGTATTTCTTTGTGCCCCCCTTTCCCTGTTAATGCCCACCTGGCCCCCTGGCAAAACTTTGCTAGACCCGCCCCTGCACAGTTACCAGCTGTCAGCTACTTAGAAAAGGATCCTGGTGTTATTTGTCTCTCAGAAACAGTTCATAACTTCCCTTCAACTCATTCATGTCACCTAAAAGGTAAACCTGTTTCTCCATCACCTGTTCAGCTCTGATGATTCAGTAAGGACATCTCCTGGTTTCATCTTCATGTTTCCCTCTCACCACATATCCAAACCGATATCATGACCAGCAGCTTTACAGCTGTGGCTCCAGCAAACATCAGCTGATACTAGAAATTAATATTAAATAAATTCTAACAACAGCTGATCAAGCTTAAACGTGCTGCTGTTGTTTAGCGCGACATCCGCGGTTTCCTCTTTCTGGCGCAAAGTGGGCGATAAACAAACAAGAGAGACGATCAGCTGATCATTGATCAGTTTCATGATTAAAGTAGCAACAGGAGAGGAATGAGAGGAGAAGAAGAGGCAGCTGTGCAGCGTAAAGACAGAATAACTCCACCTTTGTGTCTTTTTCCATCCTAGCTGAAGTCCGGGACAAACTGTGTTCCTTCTCAGCTCAACACGAAACACGTAATATTTTCTCTGAATGCGGGACAATTCTGTCTTTTTACGGGGCGGTTGGCAACTCTACTAACTAACCTTATGAATAAAACAAAGTTCACTATCAGTAACATAAAGCACCCACCCAGCTGTATAGAAACTCCGTCATGCTAGCTATTATGCACGCATCAAAAAGTCAGCACAACGAAAATAAACTCCACCTAAACTTGGTTCATATCTGACCCAGATGGACTGCAGGTCATAACTTCTTACCTGAAGTTCAGTTCACCTGACATCGGACCGGCGGCGCCTCGGGTCTCTCGCTCCTCCTGCCTCCCCTCTCCCTCATCCACCTGCTGGCCTCCACCACTTGTTAATGTTACTGAATCTGTGGAAGCTCTGCCATAGCCACCACCAAACAACTGAGTTATTTTTACACACCGGCCAGCATCTGGCCAATCCACCAACTTTCATTGTTTATACCGTTACAAAAAAATAAAAATAAAAAAATCATCGAGCCACCGATGGCTAGTCCAGCTATGGTCGTGCCATCAGTTAACCCTTCGCATGCCAAGTGTGGCACGCGTGCCTAGGGTTGTCGAGCCCTGGTCTAGATTGATAGAGATATGGTGTTCTAAAGTAAATCAAAGCTAAGATAGCACTAGCCATAAGATAATTTGCCTATTATGGTGGTATTGCCATCAACTTAAGTGTAATCCACTGGTTTTTCATTTCCTAAGGTGCTGGGAGTTCAGGTTTCTTGTATTTTCTCATGCAGTCAATAAAAGAGCAAACCATGCTGTGCTTGTGCCTGAGATGTTTTAAAAGCGGAGTAATCAGAAGCAGTACTATCAGGAAAATAAGAATAACAGAATGCAGCAGCTACTCATTTGGAATTTAAAAAGGCAGGTCTGTTAACAGAACTTGTCCACTTTCCACACTAGAAAGGGATGCAAATTTGGAGGGTTTTAGACACAATTTATGGTTTGTGGAAATGATTCTAGACTCACTGTGAAACCCCAGTGACGTCTAAAATAACTTTTAATTTAAGCATTTTTTCCCCCTAATATAATACAAAAACTTTATACCTTAAGAATACAAACCAGAAAACTGCAAAGTGAGTGAGAGAGATGGGATCCATTTTGGCACTGTACAAAACCACCTTAAACTAAAAATATTGTTTTATTTCACCAGACATTTGGCACTTAGCACTTACTTTTTCTTCATAATGCATGAAAGATGCAGCCTCAGGACCTAGATATTTGACCAGACTGGAAAGCACAGCGTTTTTCCTTTCTCCAACCTGTAAACAGAAAACAGAAACAGAAATGTGTGTTGTAACTTGGCACTTTCTCTAACTCAAGACTGTAACAACATGCTTTGTGCTAAAGTATGAATGTATTGTCTAGAAATCACCAAGTTGGACAAAAGAAGTACAGAATTTGTGCAACTCATTCTCACAGTTGTATTAGCACACATGATGAGCAGCTGAGGCCTGGTAACAAAAGGAGATCCAATAACTTAAACTCTGATTGTGTTATAGAGATTCTAGGAAAATAATTAAAGCCAAACACATCATGTTTTTGAGTGTTTCTGAAAGTGATCTATTACAGTAAATGTATGTAAATCAAACACAGATGATTTCCTACAAATGTTTTTATTTGTAGTTTTTTTTATGTTTCCTAATAAAATAATAAATAATACATTATTTTTTGTGTGTCACAACAGTCACGGATTTGTCCTTTACACTCTGACCGACTCTTCTAACATCAGCCTGTCATTCTGTTTGAGTTTCTCTGTAAAACCAAACAAGAATGGCCTCCTATTACATAAAACATGAGCTGAGAAATAATATTTATAATTCAGGAACGTTGTAGTTAATTCTAATTTATTTATTTATATTTATTTATTTATAAAGACTTGAGTTCAACGAAGGTGAATGAAGTGTCAAGTTAATTTTGGAGTCATCCCATTTGCTCCAATAAACGGTAAAGTTTACACTATTTTTTTGTGCGATCTTCAATCTCTTGTATTTCTGCATTGGGAATGTTGGCATACTACAAAAAAACAGGCAAAGAAACAGCATCCAAGTAAACATTTAAACAAATTTAAAACTGCAACAATAGAAAGCCAGCAAAGTGCAAGAGACCTGAAAATGGAAAAGAAATACAGAAAAAAAACAAAAAACCAAAAACACATAAAATACATAAAATAATAACAAATTCATACTTTGTAACAGCACATACTGTGCGTGATTGCATGTCTGATGCCACGTCTACTCACATATACCACCATAGTTTGGGGATTTTTCTTTCTTTTGTGGGGGATGTGGAGTTTAATTATTTAGCATCCTACACAGAATAAAGCAGCATAGTGATAGTTACTCAAGAGCTTTAGCCAGTCAGGATGACTTGGATGGCAAAAACAACTGTAGAGATGGGGCTGAATATATTTATATTTTTATGTAAAGGGAAACACTGCTACCTGTATGTATGTATGTATGTCTCTATGAATATAGAAGGAAAGCGTGTAGGCTGTGTGCAAAAAGCATGTTGCAAACCTCATACACATGCTTAAAGGCATATAAAGCCTGCATTCGTCCTATACCAAAGCTATTGCTGAAAAGAATTCAAAGGAATTTAAAGGATTAAGACAAGACTTGTACAATTCCAAATAATTTTAAATGCTCTTTGTTAAGAAATAACAGATTGGTTGGCCAATAACATGAACAACCACGCATCTTAAATTTTAGTTAAGTCATTCTCTATTTTTGTGGGTTGTCTTTTACAACTTAAATCTTAAACTTAAACCTGGTAACAGTAATTATAAACACCTTCCCTTTATTTCTAAACACTTAACAAGCAAAAAATACCCACTGTCTATTTTTAGGAATGCTCTTAGTCTTCTTTCTACCATACAGGTAAAAAACACTTCTGTCTGTTATTCACTTAAGTTGCAGTTACTGAAAGCTTGCATCAGTACCCCACAATTCTCAGTCTAAAAGCAGTGCTTTATCTGCACTCGGGTGATGAGCAATCTTGAGTGCATTTTTAAAATGCTGCCACTGAACAATATCATTTTGAGAATGCATTCTATGTGGCTTTTTTTCTCTAATGCAAACAAGACTTAACCCTAAATATACCCATGATTGTGGAGCTCTTTAGTTTATATCTACTAGCAATGGACATCCAAGTAAAAGCAAATGATCCTGATGGTGGAGGAGTATGCAAGTTTCTGCTTATTAAAACATGTTGAAAATACTGTCATGTTTAAATGACATGTGCATAGAAAGTTACTTAAAAGCCTCTCTACAGCATTTTTCCATTACCTCTTTTGATTCCCAATGAGAAGCCTGCTGGCCAGCAATGAACCCTACCAGAGCAGCATTACCAAAAGGGCTGGTGGCATCAAAGGTTACACAGAATGGACACTCGGTGGAGGACCCTGCCACTATTTCCCCAGAAAAGCCCTTCTCCCTCCAAAAAGCCTGCGAAGAAATACAAACATTCTTAGCATCATCAATAATGGCAACACTTTAATACTGAAACGAGCTACAAACCATTTGCATACAGTCATTCCTTGATTACACACGTTGGGGAAATGTCATTAAATTTTGACTGGATTAATTTGAAGGTTTGGCAAAAAAAAAACCCCAACAAACTGCTTTGTCAAGAAAAGTTGTTTAAGCTAAAACAGAGGGGAGCTACCATAGATCTGTCTGAAAACGATAACGAATACCTTCTGTGCTTCATGATTAACCTCCTAAGACCTGAACTCTTCCACGGCATGCATTTTTAATTTCTCTTTGATATTTGGGCTGATTGGGACCTGATAAATATAAAAACAAAGAATTACCAGATTTTTTTTTTTACCTAATTTTTGTTTCTGAGAAAAATGAGAGCTACATATGAGGATATTCATTTGACATTTCGATAGAACAGTAGCAGTATAATGTCCTGGTTAGTGGATATCAGGCCCTTGTAGAGCAAAATTGAGTATTTTGGTCTAAATAACCCAAAAAATGTGATGTCCACATATGTGGACCCCTGGTCCTAGGAGGTAAAAGTGATAATGTCAGGGGGAAACATAGTCTTTTGTGCTCACATTTCCCTCAATGTCTTCAAATTTGAAGATAAATCAACAGAACCTTGTATTGACAACTTTTAGTTACTCAAAGTTGTTAGTAGGATATTGGAACTTCTTTACACATCCAAATGTGAAATATTAAATTAAAGGAAAACAGTAAAGAAGCACAGTGCACAATGTGGTTAGCACTGTTGCCTCATAGCAAAAAAAGTCCCAAGTCTAAATCCTCCACCTGGCTGGGGCCTTTCTGTGTGGAGTTCCCATGTTCTAGACGTGTTTGCATGAGCTCTCTCCGGGTACTCTGGCTTTCTCCCACAGTCCAAAGACAAACAGTTAGTGGGGTTAGGTTAAGTGGTGATTCTAAATTGCCCATTAGTGTGAATGGTTGTCTGTCTCTGTGGTAGCCCTGCAATCCTGCAGGGCTTGCACAATCCACCAGGGCTAGCAGGATTGTGCTAGATAAGTATAAGTGGATGGATGAATAGAGAGAATACCCTTCATGAAATCAGGATGGTTTACTGTAGAGCTGTTCGATATAACGATATATATCGGATGACGATATAAAAACGTCTATCGTTTCATTTTACGCTATCGTTTGTTTCGTGGTGTCGCAAAATAAACTGTTTACGGCAATATTTTTTCATCGTTTTGATGGTCACTGTAGTGGCTATATTAATTTCTTAAAGTTCTCTCTTTCTCTTATATTTAATATAACCACACTACAGACAGACAAGCGACTGTTTTATGCGTTGTCGTTAGCAACAAACGGTAAAACCATCCGCGCTTGTTTATGTTCCACATAAACCTTTCACAATAAAGCTCAAGATCCTGTTGAGACTTTTCAAAATAAACTGAATCACGTGAAAGAGCAGATTAATTACAGATGACAATTAAAAAAGAGCCGTCAGGTGCTAAAAAATAAACCTTAGAGTCAAACGTTAGAACAGGCTTTTCCCCGCAGCAGGCCGTGTAATAAATACTCACAAAGAAACAGCGGCCGTTACAACCTATGTCTAAAAATTTATAGTTTCATGCATCAGTAAAACACTCGACTCCAGGTACACGACGCCCAGCTGGAAACACTTCACGCAAGTCGAGCTTTACAGAGAATGTTACATTTTTGTGATTTATATCGTTATCGGGACAATAGATGTTTTAATATCAGGATATGAGATTTTGGTCATATCGCACAGCCCTAGTTTACTGAGCACTTATTTTGTACCATACTGACACGCTGTTCACACAACACCTTAGTAATAAGGTTGAGGTCCTGTGTTGGCCACTCAGTTACTGAATACCTGACCTGACCTGAAGTTACCTGACCAACTTCTTTAAAAATTTTTGTATAATTTTTGAACTTTGCTTTTGGTTATTATCTGGTTTCACTTTAGAATGATGTTAAACCATAGTAGTTGGGACCAACCACCTCTTTCAGCATCTGTGTATTTATTCTACATCTCACAGCTGTTTTTCTTTTGGTTCAGACATCTCAAACACAGACTGTTTGTTCATAGCACATTTTCCAATCTTTCTCTGTCCAGGTTTTCTGTCCCTTTGCCCATGTTGATCTTTTGGGCCAATATCAGGAGTGGCTTTTTTCTTTGCATCTCTACCCCTTTTGAGACTGTTATCGAAACCTAAGCTGAAGCTCCAGACATGCAACTACACTAGGGAACAAAAAGCGGTGCTTCTTTAATCAGCAATTACCATTACTGGCAAAGGCTTTTTATAATGATCAATCAGCCTTAAATTAGGTAACACATCACTGGATGGGCCTCTGTATAGTACATCTATGTAGTTATTTTATAAAGGAAAATCCCTGATTTGTGCTGATTAAATATTAAATTGATTCCTCATTAAATTTCTTTCAAAAACAACAGATCCAAAATCTGTCAGTAATTGTGGGTTTTATTTTGTTATTTTAAGAAATGTGTGCTCAATATAAATATACAGTCTGTGACAGCTTTGTTTTACTGAACAATATTATAATATTAGTAATATTATAAAGTATAATATGTCGAAGCTAATGCAAATTACATGTTCATGTGTAACTATAATTTTATTTTCATATATTGGAGTGTTGGTAATTTGAACACATTTCATGTATGTGAAGACCATCCTGTGGCAGTAAAATAGCATGAGATGTACAAATGTAATACAAATGCTTCATAAAATTATAATCATTTGGCTCTGTCACACACACTAAGTGTTGCTTTCTGGCAATCTCATAGCCTCATGTAATAATAAGTAACTTTAATGTTCTTACAGCACAGGCTTTTGGAAAGTAGGGACTTTTTTGAACCTGCATCAAATAACACTTAAACTTTTTATTTTAAGAATTTATTCACTTTGTGACATGGGGAATTTTATAAGAAAACATAATATGACCACTGCTACTAGCAGCATTGTATCACAAATTATGGTATTACTAATGCTACTATGTATTCTGCATTTACATTTGTATAAGCATGGGCTGTCACATTTACATCCACATGAATTTAAATGTGTGATGAGTCATCTTTTTATGCTGTTTCTCTCTAACATTGTGATCAGTGTCATTGTATAATGGCAACTGTGATTCTGAAAGCATATTTCTGGATCTTGCTTTGAATTTGTATTCTCTCTTTTAATTATTTCCATTGTATTTTTGCTCAAAATAAATAATGACTTTGCTTAATACATGATTACTGGAGACTTGGTTTCAATTACAGTTTCCTTTTTGGATCTTGATTAGTTATTCACTGCTAAGAACCCCAACAACCACCCACAAAAAGGCTAAATAGATTTCAACCAAAATGTGCTTACATTGTGATTGAAATTAAGCTTTTATTTTTTTATATTTGATATTTTTTATGTTTTATATACTTTATGACAAATTCATCTATTATCTACACAGGGCATATCAACTCTCCCAGGCTAATTCAAATGCTAAACGAGCATCCAATATGCTGTTTAAGTTCACATTATTTCCTATTCTAGAAACAATCCAAAGAGAAAGCAGATTCTGGCAAGACAAATGCACTATATTGCCAAAAGCCTTCACAGATGCACAAAACTGAACTGGAGTAACATCCCTTTTTTAATCCATAGGGTTTAATCTTTGATGTGTGCTGGCCTTTGGAACTATATCAGCTTTAACTCTTCTGAGAAGGATTTTCACAAGGCTTATGAGTAGGGATGGGTACCGGCATCCGGTGCGTTCTGACATAAACGGTAGTAACCAGACCGAAAAGCAGCGCACATTTCTGTGCTTTATTTCGGTGCTTTTTTTTTCCTGAGATGTCACACACTTTGGATTCCTGCCAATCATTTTACCTTTGCGAGCGTAGTAGGCAGGCCCAGGTACGTACGTTCTTTTAGAGCAGAAATACAGATTAAAAATGACCAAGGCGAACCGGTCAAAAGTCTGGCTGTACTTCACAGCAAAAGATGCAAACTCAGCAGCCTGCAACAAGTGCTTTAAGGTGATACTGTCAAAGGAGGTAACACCTCGAATCTGATGAAACACCTGGTGACGCATAGCGTTTTTTTAAAAGCCGAGAAATGCACCGTATTTGATAGCTTGCTGCGAGACCTCACACCAAGCACATCTACTGCGGGTGGGTTGCCTGTTATCGGTCCCGGAGTTTGCAACATCCCCCAAAAACCCGAAGAGGAGAGTCCTGGCCCCTAGCCCTGCCAGTGTAGCAGAAATGATGACGGATGATGATGGCAGCAGCAGCCGTTCTTCTCTGCGTGAGTAGCTTAATGTTGTTCGTGTGTAATTTACGTTGAGTAGGCTAACCACGTTATTACATTAATGCATGTAAGGTGAACTAGCAAACACGTCGTAGTTACATGCGGCTGTCTTCTTGTTTGATGGCAGATACTCCCTTCACCCTGGCCAAAAAGGCTAAAATGACCAAAGAAAAAGTGGAAAACAGTTAAACATGAGAGGTTTTTGGACAAAGTTTGTGTTTTTTCCATTGTTTAAGCACTGCTTCCAGCCAAGAGTGATACCATATATGCCCTATAGCTGCAGAAAAGGCTAACATTGTTATCTTTTTACAAAAAAACAGCTGAACATGAGAGGTTTTTGGACAAAGTTTGTGTTCTCCATTCTTTAAGCACCGGTTCGAGCACCGTTTAAGCACCGGCACCGTTTCAAAAGTACCGGTTTGGCACTGGTATCGGATAAAACCTAAACGATACCCATCCCTACTTATGAGTGTGTTTTAGGGAATTTTTGGCCATTCTTACGCATGCACATTTGTGAAGTCAGGTACTGATGTTAGATGAGACAGTCTGTCTCACAGTCTGTGCTCTAATCCCATCCCAGAGGTGTTCTATCAGGTGGAGACCAGGACTCTGTGCAGGCTAGTCAAGTTCCTTTACACCAGGGGTATCCAACTCCAGGCCTCG